TGGGCAACAGATGGGATCATTATCACCCCTGACTGGAAATGCGCTTAAAAGACTTGACAAAAATGATGAATAACATGATAGAGATAAATCTAAACTGCCAACCTGTGAGAAATACTGTTCTTCATATTTCAGTGGAACCTAACACAATTATTTATTTAGTTAATTAAAAATCCATTTCCTCCTAATCAAGGACAGGCAATGGTACCCCATGGTTTAGTACCTGGGGCAGCCACCTTTGGTGAGGATAGGAGCATGTTCTATTTACCAAGTTTAAAGCGCAAAATTTGGGGAATGTTGGACCATTCCTCTATGCAGATGTTTTCATGATCAGCCGCATTACTAGGTTTGTACTTATTAACTGCCCACTTCACTTCAAAAACAAGTACAAGTTAACCATGGAATTGCCATTGTTTTGGTCTTGGATGATTTGTTGAAACATGCATACTTTTTATAAAAGTACATGGGAGGATACCTGATTGAATGTATTACTTTTTCAGGCTGATCATTTCGATACCTTTTTCAACGGAACTCATATACTGTACACAAACTCCATAAAAATTATGGTAGTAGAAAATGGAATGACACAATAGGAACAAAACACCATTTCAGTTTACTTTACTATCTGATAAGTGTACTGTTGCTCTCTGGATTACAGTACAGTAGCATTCACACATGCACATGTTCAGAGTATGCTTACCATCTCTGTACCACATAACCTCTGGCTGTAGGTTTGCAACATCAGGGCATAAAACCATCTGACAAATCAGGCTGACCGTGTCCCCTTCTGATCCAAATGTCACCCCAAACTTATCCACAAAGTCAATTTCAAGTTTGGTAAGGTGGATATCGGGTAATGAGGGAACTGTATCAAGACAAGAAATACAATGAGCTTGATTAAACTACAACAAATTCTGCTGACAGGTTTAAAATTCTACATTAATGATAACGACTCATTAGAGGGAAAATATGTTCCATAATGAATATTATGTTAAAATTTATCCATGATCTATCCCGCTTCTTTCTCAATAGGGTCGTGGGGGAGCTGGAGCCTATCCCAGCTGACAATGAGCAGAGGGCAGGCACACATGATGGACATCTTGCCAATCCATCGCAGGATGCACAAGCCATTCACATGCCATTCTGTCTCATTCCTCTAGGTAATTTACAGTCTCCAATTAGCCTGATATGCATGTCTTTGGACTGTGGGAGGCAACCGCACAGAAAGGCCCCAGGCCAGATTTGAACCCACAACCTTCTTGTGTGAGACGGCAGTGCTATCCACTGTGCCACCCATCATTACATAGCATTGGAATTTGAAATGAATGAATTCACATAAATAATTACAACAGCTTACTGTGTGTTGTGTGAGATTATTGTATGTATGGGTGTATGTATGCATGCATGTTTGTGTGTCTGAATGTTTTTAATGCACAAAATATGAGAAACACTGAAAACCAAGAAAATGACTTAAACTTTGAAGTTTCTAAACCATAATTACGAAGGCATGTGCCCAGGTGAATCCTCTTAATTTCCACGCTAATTAGCAGCTTATGTCTGTTTAAAAAAAAAGGTCTAATCAGCAGCACTTCCCAAGCTAGGCTTAGGCTTCAAAGCAAGATGAAGACAACAACAGAGTTCCAGGCGGGCTAAATGGTTTCCGCCCTAATTGTAGGTGTCAGTCAAAAAAAAAGGCTAAATTCCGTAAGGCAACAGTGCTGTGTGAAAAATTATGACAGCATACACCCTAAAAGCAGAAACAGCAACAGCAAAAAATAACTTTGATCACAGGAAAGCTCTCCATCAGGGACAGACAGAGAGCTGGTGGCATAGTTGACAGTAACAGAATTACACCTGTAATAATTACCACAGAAATAATAGAAGCCATCAGGTTGGGGTAAAAGAATTGGAAAAAGCCATATTTGAACCATTCTCAACAAGAAATGTGATGCTGTTACCAGCTCAAAGGCAGTATTTAGAGAATGGTTTGGTTGCAAAGGTCTTACGTCAAACCCAAACCTTCAGCACAAGTTCCTTCTGAAATCATTAAGGTCTGCTGCAAGAGGCAGAATTATGCTGCAAAGCCTTGTATTTGGTGTCATGCTTGGATGGCATACTTGCTATCTGGTGCATTTAAATTCTATAGTAATGATTGGTTTAGAAAATCATGTACGCAATTTCTTTACACGAGGATATTTTAATGCTGAGACATAGTGTCTAAGCATGTGGGAAGTTTGTCTTATAGGGTCTGGTGTTAACCCCTTCTTCTTTCCAAGAATTTGGATTTTTAGGATTAGATATAGCTACCAAGAAATACCCTAGCAACCACATGGAAGCAGCCTTGAAACCACCCAGAAACATCATAGCAACCACCTTGTAGAACTTCGCAATCACATACACACATCCTAGCAACCACCTAGAAATATCCTCACGTCCAACCAGGAAACCCCTCGCAACCACAAATAAACACTCTTGCAACCACATAGAAACAACCCAAGCAACTACCACAGAATAACCTAGTAACAACCCCGAAACACCCTAGCAACCACATATAAGCACCCTGGTAACCATCATATACACCCTAGTAACTGCCTACAAACACACAAGCAACCTCCCAAAAACATCCTGACAATTGCCTTAAACACTTTGGTAACCACCTAAACACACTCAAGCAACCACCCAGAAACACTCAACCAACCACCCAGAAATACTGCAGAAACCACCCAAAGACACCTGAGCAACCATCAACAAAAACCCTAGCAAACACCTGGAATCGCAATTGATTAGTTTAGTGAATAAAAGTAATAGGAAGAATGACTGGCTCATACATTTACTGTATTATTTATGTACTTTTCCTCATTGTATTCTGAATTTTAAACACCTGTGAAAAAAGCATAAATTTGCAAACATTTGTCTGCTAGCCTTTATGATTGTTGTCATTTTGCACAAATGGATTAACCAGCTATATTTTGCATTAAACACTAGTTTGATACATTAAAAAACTATGTGTTTCCACCATAAGTAAATGCTTTTTGGCACGTCAAAATAAATTAAGTGCCATCTTGCTTAAATCAATCTAATTTCCACAGTAAAAAAACTGTAACAGGAGACAGAATCCTGTAAAAGTTTAAATTTGTTTACGTAATAATTCTTTACATTATTTCCATCTGTAGACCCACAATCTTATAATTTAGCCAAGCTATCTCTTTGTCATGATTTCTTCTAATTTATTGGCAACACATTTGTCTTCATTACTCAGTAAATACACGATTTGATTGTCAATTGGGCAAAGTACAAGGGAACAGGTGTACAGTAACTCTGTGTTAAAAGGAGATGGCTAAACAATATGAAACCACTTTACAAGACCAGGTGCCTCCTATGGTTAAAACACTGTTCCCTAAAAATGTCCCCATATTCCCACATGGCCTGCATAATCATCAGGTCAAAATGTAATTGAACATAATTGAAATTTTATGAGTTCTGCAGAATGTAAACAAGATTTCTACTTCCTGTCTTGAAAATTCAGCAAAATCCCACAACATGCAGGTCAGAATTTGTATTTCAGCATACCCCGGAGAATTGAAACAGTTTTTCAGGGTGTACTCCTTAGCAGTTAAACTAAATGTTCTGTTTTTGTATGCTTCCAATATTTATCCAACCTCTTATTATGAATAAATGCATATTCCCTCAGCTTATAATGGAAGTAATTTTTTTTTTCAGTTGTTTGTAGTCACTCAAGAACACAAACACATGCATAAAATAGTTTCCACTGCTTCCACAGTTATTTGCGGCTGATAATTGTGCGGATTGTGGGAGAAAGTTCATGTGCTGTTCTGACCTTGGAAATGGAATAGTAGCGGTGGCATCGGTTCCTCATCCACGGTAGACTCTGAAAGACATGCAATTCTTCAGTAAACCAGAGTAAGAGATGTATTTCATATATTTAATACAATTGTGCACATTTAGGCCAGGATTTAACTGGCATTTGTCATTAAATTTATTAGGCAACACACTCAATGTGCTTGACCTTCACTGTATGGCAAGTCTAATTATCACTCATACAACCTTACCAAACTATATATGTTTGTGTCGAAAGAGTGTAGTGTGGTGTAACCTTGTCAAGTTTAAGGACAAATGGCGATTGACTGCAGCCCTTAATCATACTGGGCTAAACACAAAATGGTACAAAGTCAAACTGTCACTCCTCTGTGATCACTTTTGTACTGAATAAATATTGGCAGGAAACTATAGTTATGGGGCCATTCCATGCCAAATCAAGAGATTTCCTCCAAACTTCTCATTGCCGCATAAAAGTTGGTAATCACCTGCCATTTAAACAGTTCTCATCATACAATAAAAATGTTTATATAATAGTAGTAAAACCCCAATTCCTAAAAAGTTGGCTGATAGGAAAAGGCAAAAATTATTAGAAGGAGGGATTTTAAAGTCCATTCACCATCTACTATATTTAAAACACTGCAACAACTCATTACTTGATGCTTTATCCCTGCAAATTCAATTTTGTGTATTTAAGGTTTATGCCTATAATGCCTCCGCTACACATAGTGCGCGGGAGCCATACTGTTGTTTTTTTTTTTTTTCCCTCCGGTCGTCCGTCACACCGACTAACTTCCCACTGAGAGTAGACAAACTGAGTAGAATTTGGAGGTCATTGGGTCTTAAGTTCAAGGTCACATAGGGTCAGCTGTATGCGGGGACTAAAGAACAACTTTTAGAGTGTTTGAAGCTACGGCTGACGGAGGCATAGAAATCAACGATTTTTTTTTGTTTCAAATTTGACAACTGCAATAAAATCAAGAAGAACAGGAATGGTAAATGGACTGCATTTATATAGCGCCTTTCTAGTCAGATGACACAAAGCGCTTTTCAATTTTGCCTCTCATTCACCCTGATGGCGGAGGCTGCCGTGCAAGGCGCCAACCTGCACATCAGGAGCAGTGTGGGGTTCAGTGTCTTGCTCAAGGACCCTTCGACACATTCTCTGGAGGAACCGGGGATCGAACCAGGAACCTTCCATTCCTATAGCTGCTCTACCTCCTGAGCCATGCCGCCCCATACAGGAGCAGGGGCAAATTCGACCTAATAATATTGTCACAAGTTACGATTATAAGGTGATGTTAAACAGGCAAACTATCTGAGTTATAGTATAAAAGGAGCCACCAAAAATAGTGTAGGCTTTAAATTAAACATACTGGAAGTGACCTTTAGAACCTTCCAAGGTCCAAAAAAAATTCTTAGGTAGCTAATAATTTTGTGTGTCTTTTGAAACAGGTTCAGTGACTTAAAAACACTTGCCCAATACAAGGACACACCTCTGCTTTACAGTTACAAATAATGAACTGTGCATGTACAGAATCTCTTCAGATACTCTTGGTATGATTTCCAAACCCCTAGAACAGCAGTAACTTCAAAGCAGTTATGCATGTTACAGTCATGAATAGTGAAAGACTGGTATGTAGGCATCATCAACAAGCTTTGCCTGGACAACTGTGACACCTCTGTAAAATGTATACACCCCAAAGGCCCAACAAGAAGTCCTTTTCCGGCCGAAACGTCTTGGCCAATGTTAAGTTCAGATGGATTCTGAGCTCAATCAGAGCACTTTTCACATCACGTTCAACCAAAATATACAGCCTGAATGAATCAACATTCAACAGGATTACGCTTGACCATTGGCATTTTTGTTGTAATTGCTATAAAATGCCAAAGGGTTCTATTTTATACCTTCGCAAAATTAAATGCATACAGCAGTACAGGAATTGAACAAAATAACAATCAAAAATTGTAATTCTGATGCGCCATGATGGCTTAATGATAGCTTGCTTTTTAGTTGTAACAGTTCCATGGACCTTAAAATTGCGGCAATTCCAAACCCTTCACCAGAATGGGATGTAAATACGGTCAAATTAAAGCTCAAAATCTGCATTTGTAGCTAATTTTTATCATTTTTATACTTGTAGCTCACGTAATCTCCTTTTAAATTTCAACTTCAATATGCTGTGGTAGACAACTAATATAACAACAGAGTTCAGATATTTATTGACCGGAATTTGTGCACAGTCTGGAAGAAAAATAATGGTTGAGCTGGTCAGTTGCCCATCTTCTCATGGAATGATCCCAAGTTAGGACCTGGTATTACAAGGTAATCATTTTAATGTGGAACTGACACCAGGACTTCACACTTACTTCTGACAACTAAAGCAGCACTGGAGGTTGTTACTCCATGCATATTTGTGGCCACAGCCGAGTACTGTCCAGAATCAGAAATCCTGCACCTGTGGGCAAAAAAAAGTACATTGAAATAAAATACAATGTTATCTGACAATGCATCAATTTAATCAAAACAGTTATTTTTATTTGGGCAAAGAAAAGTGAAATTTTTTTTTTTTTTTTTTGTTAAAACGGAAGATACAGGATCAATCATAATTCCTAACCAGAGGCATTCATAGAGTGCAAACCTCCGCCAAGGCAGCGCAATCCAAATCTTCATGAATGGGAGCAAAGTTGAGTTATTGCGTGTCATACGATTTCAAGATGGCTGCCGTGGCGGCCATATTGATTCACTGATCGCGGTGAAAATCAAGAGGGTCTTTCCTTGATGTAATAGCAATGCACCCACAAAATTTCAGACAAATCCATGCATTACTTTTTGAGTTATGTTGCTCACAAACAGACAGACAGACAGGGGCGAAAACATAACCTCCGCCCCAACTTCGTTGACGGAGGTAATTAGCTAAAGGAAATTACATCACATGAAAGATGGTAATTAATTAAAATAATTCACCGACTGCCACAGACTTTATATGCCTGGAACCTTTAGAAAAAAATAACACTGATGATATTCAGACAACAGGATCATTGCTTTGTGTTGGGGGAGTGTTCTACAAAGCAAGTTCAACATAGCCAGGCTGCCTTTGCGTGAGCTGGCTCAACAGATGCTAACCTCGGTATCATGGATATTATATGTTATCGTGGAAGATTAAAAGAGAGCCAGCATTGCAACGTTGAAATCCCCGGCTTTAGGCTCAACATACCTTGCTAACCTGATAATCTTGCATCATAGTACACCCCTCGAGACCCACAGTGGTGCTTACCCAAACACAAGTGCCTTTGCTATATTTGTGAATACACCGTGGTTTTTTTTTGGTCCAGGAAGCTTTGCTGTCAAAATGCTTTGGCTGCTTAAAACGCAATCTCATCATGGTAATTATCAGCATATTGCAATTTTGGAGTTGAAGTATTAGCCTGTTTACCAACAAAAACCTGGTATAAGTTAGTGCCGCAGTCTCATTACTATTTTAATGGTGTAATGTTAATAATGGTCGCTGTCTCATTACTATTTTAATGGTGTAATGTTAATAATGGTCACTGTCTCATTACTATTTTAATGGTGTAATGTTAATAATGGTCGCTGTCTCATTACTATTTTAATGGTGTAATGTTAATAATGGTCGCTGTCTCATTACTATTTTAATGGTGTAATGTTAATAATGGTCGCTGTCTCATTACTATTTTAATGGTGTAACGTTAATAATGGTCGCAGTCTCATTACTATTTTAATGGTGTAATGTTAATAATGGTCGCTGTCTCATTACTATTTTAATGGTGTAATGTTAATAATGGTCGCTGTCTCATTACTATTTAAATGGTGTAATGTTAATAATGGTCGCTGTCTCATTACTATTTTAATGGTGTAATGTTAATAATGGTCGCTGTCTCATTACTATTTTAATGGTGTAATGTTAATAATGGTCCTCCATAGGCTAATATTTGCACACGCTTCAATCTGTTATGTAATAGAAGACACAAATAAACATGCATAATATATCTATATCATAATGTGAGATATTACTGCATATCTTATCTAAAATGGCAAAATACAGCACTTAATATTGGATGGTCACTTTATTGATTTAAATTAGATAATCACAGAAATGACACTATTTTGAGACAAAGACCATCCTCTATGCCATTTTTTCTAGATTATAAACTAGGTGCCCCCTACATTTTGCTTATTAGTAGCAGAAATTCTGCAACTATGTCAGTCCTGTTTGTCTTCTTGTTGTCTGTTCATTAGTTTACACTCTAGCGCCCACAGTTTTGCATCAATCATCCTCTTACTTCATGAATTTAGTCATCTAGTCAAATTGTTCAACAGGATGCTTTTGGCAATCATAAGTCAAAGGTCAAGGTCAAGGTCACCAGAAACTTCTACAAAACATTTTGGTTAATTACTTCACTGCTAGGCATGATAGAAACTTCAAACCAAATGACATTCTTTTCTATTAACGGACCGCGCTCTAGCAGTTGAGGTCAGACGGATGTCACTCTGATGCAAATACGTCAAAATGACGTCAAAGTGTTGAAATAAATTTGAATGGAAAATTTGCCAACGGAATCGTGTTTGGCATGCAGCAAATACCAAATTGGTCCAATATTTATGACGTAATTGAAGTTTGACATCTGTTCACTGTCAACATCCAAATTTCTGCAACTCATCATTCACTGAACCACTTTTCATTTTTAAATAGCCCTATGTTTGAAAATCTGCCATGGTATTTTTGTTTATCTAGTGAGCCTAGGCAGTGGGAGCTCTAACTCAATTTATAGCATAGACGTGCAATTTTGTCTTATTAACTGGCAGCAGCGAGTGTGTAATTTCCTAATGTAATGGATTGATGCAGCTCATGTGCTTGTTCAAGTTTATTATAACTTCTTCTACGTTCAGTAAGTATCAAAACTTTTCTCTGCTCTCAGCTAGGTTTGGAATGTTATTGTTATGGACAGTGTCAAGCAGGAGCTACCTGGTAGCAATCATTTCTTAGCAGTGATTAGTGCACTTCCATGCCAGTCATACAACGTGTATGCCTGGTGGAGCTGGACAGGCTGATGGAAGCCATTTTGATGGTATAGGACTAAACATGCCACCATTGATTCTCAATGAACAAACCTGAAACTCAAATCTCAGGAATTATTTGGAATTTCCATGAAATGCTAACAAGCACAGTCACTTGTATTGGGCCACAAATACTGTTAGAGGTTTGGAATGAATATCTGTATTTCAGCAATCATTTGATGAGTCTAATGACAAAAATAGCCCCACAAAGCCGGCGATACCCTTCAGCCCCTGGATTGTTTGGAATGAATATAAATTGACGAAGGCATTTTCAAGTTATCCTGCGGAATACAAAATTCAAGATGGCAGCTGTGGCAGCCATACTGGACATCCGAGTGCCATCAAATTCGATAGGCTTCTGTAAGTACACAAGACCAAGCAATATAGCAAAAATGGTGTTGATTCACAAAGGCGTTTTCAAGTTATCATGCGAAATACAAAAGTTTGCGGGACAGACAGACGGACGGACATCACATGTGACAACAATGACCCCTCTGCCCCTTTGTTGGGCCTGAGGGGTAAAAAGTCTACTTTTAAAAAATGAAAAACAATAAATAAGCATGTACCACATTATGCTGTCCACACAATTTGAATGGAGAATTTTAACAGTGCACACGCAGATCGAATTTTATGAAATCATATTAAAAGTCATTTTAGCAATCAGGCAGAGGTACAGACATTCTGATTGGTTTATTGGTTTTTTATTAATGCCAAAGACATACCAATTAATTCATTAAGCCTCCAATTTTGGCTCTTTTGAACTTTGCATTGCACTCTGTTATTGAAATATCCACTGTGAAATTAGCAAAAGTATACCTATGCCTCCAATGGACTTTTGTGCTTTTTAAGCATTGACTGTGCGTTAATTCTATAAATTTTTTTACCTTCACTATTCAGCATATGGGAAGATCTTCAGGCACAAACGACAAAAATTTCAAGCTGCTTGGAGCAGAGGATGAGAATAGATGGAGAAATGTGACCTTTAGCCTGTCTGTACTATTTTAAATACACCCCAATGTACTTTAAGAGTGGTAAATGCCAAATCATTGGCATTTTATTCAAGTCTCCGAGCACTCTTAGATCCAATGACTTTGAGTCATTACGTTATTCACTGTCGTAAATCCACCATTTTCTAGAGGAAAACCTTGAAATTGTG